ACTTTCCAACGATGAAAAAGTGGAAATTTTTTCCTCATTACTGTTGTTATTTATCATTACAACAGGGGTGTGCGATAGACTTACCCTGGGCAACGTATACTCATACGGCAAAAAAGTCTATTAACCGGCAGTTGACTTCAAACTACCAAGGACCCCCTGTATGACATATTCGACCACTTCCATAGTACTACATCACATTTTTTTCTAAATTTTCAACCTTGGTCTTTGAAACACTCTTCAGTTCTCCTCCTCTCGACTTTTTTTCATTTTGATGTTCCTTCCCCTCTCTGTGAAGCCTGAAGTCAACTAAAGGGCTAATGATAACCATCAAAACGCCTGCCATTTGATATAAATAAATTTATCATTACAACAAGCTTGCATTATTTCCAATCCATCACAATAACTCGTTTTAGAGTGCCAACGGTGATTACTTGGATGCTAGCAGTAATTTGGGTTGGAGATGGATGGGTGACCTTGTGACCTCTGACATGCCACAATAATTAATTCATGCCAAAGAGCAGTATTGCTCACTCGCTAATGAACTTTTTGTGTGCTATGTGAAATAGAGAGAATTATAAGCTTTACTTAAAACTAAGTCTACGATTTTACGCAATATGCACATACAATTATATAGATGCTACCGAATACTAAGTGAAAATAAAACGATTACGAAATCACAAAAACTCATTTACATTTTCTTCATTGGAAAAGATGTCAATAAGATGAAATAATAATCTTTTGATTCCAAGATTTTAATTCTACTCCGCTTCTATTTAAATGTAAACTTTCGTCCTTTCTCTCACTAATTAATGTGAAGGACCCTTGAACCAGATATAAGTCTCCAAGTATCAATCCTTCTTCCTTATTAGCTCGATCGAATTTACTTTAATTTCATGTACCCATTGTCCCTAATTTTTAAAACCAAATTAAGTGATATGTTTGTCCTTATGTAACAGATTCTAAGAAGAGCGCATTTTTTTCAATGCACAAAATAAGTTGCGCAGTAAATACTTTTTCATAAAGCCTAAAAGCTAATATAAAAAAAAAACATTTATTGTATTTCCCCAAAGGAAATAGACCATCCAAATTAAAAAAAGCAGTTACATATTTGATCCCTTCAAAGATTACTTTCAAGGGACACCCACTTGCAAACTTTGCTCTTGTTGGTCAGTATCCGGCGTATCAGAAAACGTCAACTCGCTTATTAATTTCATTGGCTGAAATTTCCCCAGCCCACTAGCTAATCAGAACTGGGGTAAACGCACAGCCAGTTAATCGAAGGACTTATAACCATCTGTCAGTTTTAAGGTATTCGGATAATCGGATAAACGTGACTCTGGTAACTTCTAAAATGTATGGAAATACACAACCAAATCAAACTTATCTTCCATCAGGCCCTACCACAAATGGATTTCAACAATTTCCTCCCCAGCTACAATCCGTAAAAGTGGATAATTCAATAGATCTCTCGGATGAAGACATTATTCATCAGTCAGGAAAACGTATGAAACATGACCGTTCAAGAGCAGCAGACTTCTCCAAAGCTTTCGATCGACTGCGTGGGATGATCCCCACGCACCCTCGTGATCGAAGGCTCTCAAAAAGTGAAATTCTCCGCTTAGCAACCTCCTACATCCGCCATCTTAATACCGTATTAGCAACAGGCATTCCTCCATCACAACATCCCTGTATGAAACCTTCGAATTCTTCCAATTTTACCGACGACAAATCCCGCATATGCACATTTTGCATTAATGACCCTTTAAATGGGTATTCAAAGATCCGAAAAGAGGTGTAAAGGTTGGCTGTGCTGATTTCACAATGTACATATTAATGCAATATATTGTATCTTATACTTTTTATTGAAAAAAAGAAATAATTTATGAAAGAACCGACTTCGTTTTACTTACCTCACTGTTATCTATAAATTGAACGACTGAGAGAGTTGCTTCCGGACTGATCGATTCAATATGAACTGGATCGAGTCTGCAAGTAAATAAGTAATATTATAGGTAGGCACTACTGTAAATGCGTTTTGGTGGGACAATTTGATGCATACGACTGATGTCAAAAATGAATGATACCGATTAGGTTGATGCTGATTTTGGCTATCCACTCCCAAACTGAATGTCTTCAATTATCTTACTACAGTTGGTTAAAGTACGCATCAGAATGATTACCCATAGTACGACAAATTTTTAACTTTAAAACCGACTCAGAATATCAAAAATATAGGCCGATATTTGTGATTTAGTGATGAGAATAGTCATTATGAAAGTCATTTATGCTCCGATGATAATGTGAAAGGATTTAATCGCGTTCTCTGCAAAATAATTAATTAAATTTCGTTGATTTGCCGATGTTCATACGGGTTCAGATTCCCATTAGCACAAAGTGTTAGTAATGAGGTTCAGCTCCTGAATAAAAAACTGTAACTAATAAATGAAGTCAGTCATCACTTCGGTTATAGTTGCCAATCAATCATTTGACTTGAGAAAGTCAGTTTTGTAGCAATGACGTCTAATATATTTCCTTACTTTGTTGGGATGCATTCTCCTCTATAATGCCTTGAGAAATAGTGAATGACGAAATGTATCCGAGTATTCTCAGCAAAAGAAAAAACCAGCCAACAAGAGTAGAATAGAGATTAAAAAACAGAACAAATTTCAAACCAATTAGATAATTGAGTTAATTGTATACTTAAAATTTGGAAGTCATATTTTTTTCTTTTATGGGGTGTGGGATAGACTTACCTCCACGTGGTTCACCCTGGGCAACGTATACTCATACGGCAAAAAGTCTATTAACCGGCAGTTGATTTCTCACTTCAAACTACCATCACCCCACTGTATGTCATATTCGACCCCTTTCGCAGTACTCATCTTACCTTTTCTCTACCTTTGTGTCTGTCTGCCTCTTTTACATCTGTAAATCGCTCTTCTGATCCCCACCCCTTGACTTTCTGCTACTTTTATGAACCTTCCTTCTGTGAAGCCCGAAGTCAGCTAAATGGCTAATGATAGCTATCATAACGCCTGCCATTTGAAATATAAATTTTTTCTTTTATTTTTTTTAAGCTTATCGTCAT